TTTTGTCTCGTTCAGTTCTAATACCATCTTCATCTTTTTTTGTCTCTATTTAAATTACTAATAGATTATTAGGTAATTTAAAAAACTTATATATATATACATATATATAAATTTTTATTTAGTTTTTTAATTTTTTTTATTTACTATATTTTTTCTCTCTTTTATTTTAATTATTTAATTCGTTTTATATTTATAAAATCCACTCGTATATTTAAGATACCCTTTTATTATAGTTTTGATTATACATTTTTTTTTGTAATTATTTTTGAATGATGTACTATTAATTTAAGTGAATCAAATATATTTTAAGTTTATTTGATTATTATTTATTTTTCTGTATAATATCGCTTAATAATAGTGTATTAAATCAATAACACATATTTGATCACTTGTATATTTTTTTAACATTTTTATTTGTTGTTTATTTTAATTGTGTAAAATACTGTTTTAATAATTTTTATGTAAATATTTTATTTTGTAATTCTCAATTTTATCACTATAATTGTATAATTTTTTTATTTACTATAATATAATAATTTAATATCATTTTCACAAAGTTATAAGATAAAAAAAATCATAAATAAATTCAAATCATTATTAGTTTAATATTTTTTTATTAAATCTCATTTAAGTAGTGTATTATAATGTATAAAAAATTCATTAGTATTTAAATAAATGAAACAAAAAGACATTTAAATATTTTTAAACATTTGTTTTTTAATATTTTAAAAAACGTTTTAACTTTATTATCTTTGTTTTCTTAAATTGCATGATTAAGAAATGTTTTTGATTTTTATAAAATTTTATTTATGTGTTGTTGTATAATATCCTTTTCGTCCTATCCAATTATTATTTAAAATTTATATAAATTTTATTTATTTTTACATATTTAATAGTGAACAAATAAAATTTCAGTACATACACAAATGCAGGTATATCTAAAAATAAGAATGAAACAAAAATTATACTCTCATTGATATGAGGATGAATTGTCACTGTGTCCTCGCTCAGGCTCTGGACAACGAAGATGAGAAGAGACAAAAATATAATTATCTTTGTAGAAATTTTTGTTCTGTTATTTTTAATCAATAATATAATTATATTACATCTATTATATCATGGTAACTTAATAAATTTCAAGTGTACATTAACATATATGTTAAACCTTACCTCTTTTGATTATTAATGAATATGTTCATAATAGCTAATTTATCTTAATTATAATTCAAATATCTCAGATAAATACCCTTCATCATTGTGCTATAGAAACAAATTATACATTTTTTTCAGCAAAAAATTATTTATTTTTAAATCCAGCATTCCAAGCCATTCAAAATATCCATAAATCCCGATATATTTTGTCCACAAATAATAAAATCTGATACATAAACAAGTTAAAAAGAAAAGAAAATAAAAAAAAGAAGAAGCTCAAAACAAATACTCTCCATGTGCATGATCGAAGTACGAAGAAACCCGTAAATGTGGCCCACTAATGCGTTTACGTCCAATTAGTTATAGGTTTTTCTTCATGTATCTCGTACTTTTTAGTTGTACTCCCATAAACTTAAAATAACTATTTTAGAACATTGTTCTTTTAATCGGGTCAATTTGTTTCCAAAATTACCAATTTGGATTAAAAAAAAAACCCACATAGTCATGTTGTAATGTATAAACACAACTTTGTTTTAAATATATCGTATTGTTTATTGACGACTTTAAATTATGGAAGTGAAGTCATCAAATCATACAATGATTTTTTTATAAATTAAAGTTTGTATTGCAAATAAATACCTATTTTAATTAATTATACTTAATAAGGAAAATTGTCATTCCTTATCAAGACTTCACTTACATTTTTTTAAATAATTGAATTTTGAATTGAAATTGTTATCTCTTATGGCAATTTTAATAAATTTCACTTTAAACTAGAATCGTCATACTTCATGACTACTTCATTTTGTTGTTGAAATGAAGTTCTCGTTTCTTTGATAATTCTAGCTCAAAAATAATTATACTAAAACTGAGAGTGATGACAATTTTATTTTAAAATTAATTATATTGAAGTTGTGACAAAAGACGAGGATTTCGGTTCAAATTCAATTATCATACGAAATAACGACTTTAATTCAAAATTTATGATTAATTATAATTAGTATTAATTAAATTAAATGCTCACGATACGAACTTTAATTTACACAAAATTCGTTATTTGCTTTAACTATTTCACTTCCATAGTTTAAAATCATTTATGGATATAATGATTTTTTCATTCAAAACAAAGTCGTGCTTATACAATACAACTTGATCATGTATTTTTTTTTAACATGAATTAATAATTATAAAACAAATTAATCCCATTCAATTAAAAAACTTCATAGGAGGCTTTTTGCCTTTTTTTATCTAGAACACGATTTTGATAATAGAATTTGCATGACAAGTTTTCCATAATACAATTTTAGAATATAATTTTTAAAATAAGTTTTTCCAAATTTAAATTATACATATAATAATATTAGATAAGATCTAAATAATATCAAAATTTAATCTAAAACACTTATCTTAAAATTTAAACTTCAAAATAAATTTCACACCTATAGAATTAAAGAATAATTTATTATGCATGTAGATAAGTTGATCACTTATAAAAGCTCATTGTTCGACTTCATATTTAATATTAAAGTTTTTATTGATTTCAATCAATTGAGGTGTCTTTCAAAGATGCTTTCATGTTAAATTAAGTCAAGATTCGATTATACAGATAATAAATGTTATAATCAACATGTAGTCAATTACCTTATTTAGATCATGAATTTATAGTTTTGTAATAAAATTTTGTTTTAGACTTACTTATGACCCAAATTTGCTTAAACCTAATTAATGATTTAATTCTTATTACTTACATTTTCTATTTCACTTGTATTTCGATTATCGAGTCGAGGTTGTCTGTTTTACTATATAATATGTCTTCACGTTCGCATCTCAATCTTTGTCACCATTTATCTTGAATGTCTGTTCAGTCAAGTTGGAGATTATCGACAAAATGTACTCTGATGTTAAAGTCAAGTTCGACAATTAAACAATTAATGTGTAATAAATAGAATTATCTACTTTTTTTTTTACCTCAAACGAGTATTTATAGTTTTTGAAATAAATTTTAGATTAACGATAGATAATCACGATTCAATTGTTAATAATCTTGTTTTGCTTTAATATAATTAATGTTAATGTTAATGTTAATCTCGTAATTGATTGTTGGACCAGTCAAACGATAACAATAGATTGATCATGTGAATATAATCATATAATATAACTTGTATTAGTGCTTGACCACCAGATCAACATATTGACATTATACATTATGAGAGAATTTTGACAAAAGCTAATGTGATAAAAGATGTTTGATTGACCAGTTAATCAACATTGTTATCTGGACGTTTAATTGGTTGGTGTACCGTAATATACACACAATTAATTTGAACCAACTCTTTGTAACATTTACAAAAATATAAAGAAAAAAATAAAGCTATTTTTATATAGTTTTCAACATATCTTTTTTAATTTTAACATAAGTTCAGTATACGAATTTTTTATTTTAATTTTTCTGGAAGATTTAAAATTGAACTAAAAAATAGAAACCGAACGTAGCACATGGCATTATTGAGAGAAGAAGTGTTGAATTCAGTTCCTCTTTCTTAAAATAATCGGTGTAGATATGGCATTTTGCACTTGCTGTCTTTCTTGCATGAACTCCCTTCGACACCTCACAACATAACCCTTTTCAAATTATCTTCTTCGATTTTAATACGCAACAACTCGTAAGTGTTTTTTTGTCGTGACTTTTCAGATTTCATCTTCAGAGAACCAATACTCTATTTTCAACTCTATTTTTTCTGAATGATATATATATATATATATTTTTTTTCCATATAAGATAAAGATATTCCAAAAATGCTCACCAAATATATATACTAGTAGTTTTGTGAAGTATTTTAAAATTTTGTATTATGTGAAAAATATAGTAGTAATAATAAACAATGCGACATAATAGTAGACAGGTGTCAAGAGGTTTGGGGCAAGTGGCTCTAAAGGAGAGTGTATGAGTATCTGAAGGGTAGGTGTCATCATATAACATCTCTATCACTCATGCATCCTCAAACCAAATACTACTATACAACCTTCTCTTAACTTTTTATTCATTTATTAATCACTCATTCCAATACTATATTACTCACTACTTCAAATTAAACTATTGATTAATTATTTATTAATACATTACTCGCTAGTTCAAATATCAGTGTATGTCAATATGAGATTTTCAACCCAATTTTTCACATGTTTTATTGTTTTAAAAGTCATTATTGCACTGTTTTGGTTAAAACATCCGTCAATCCTATATTACTATATATATATATCAATTGTTTTTTATTTACTTAACTGATTAGTAACTCAGTAATAACGATATCTTAGACAAAAGCAATATACATTAATTGTTCATTGTAATGAAAAGTGATTCAATAGAAAAAAATGTTAGTTTGTATACATTTGGTTTCTAAATTTTAAAAATAAATATATATAGTTATTCTTATTCAAACGATATTAACATATTTTAAATATTAAACATGTTTTTAGTTTTTAGAAATAATATGTTTTCAATGTTTGATATATTTTTTATTTCAAATTTTAAAAATAAACAAATATAATTCTTTTACTTAAAAAATATTAATCTTTTTTAGTTATTAAATAATGTTATAAATTATTATTTAAGTTGTTTATGTAATTTGATATATGACTCGAATATTAATTTCAAACTTTCGTTTTATCATGTAAAAGAAATTAATCTTATTAAGGTAAAAATTATATATCTATTATTTTTTAAATTTAATAAACAAAAGAATGAATTATAGTTTTACATACAAATTTGAATTTAAAAGTTAAAAATATATTTAACTCATAAAAATATTTTTTCATTGCATGCACTATTCTTGATTCTCGGTGTTCCTCCTTATAAATAGCACCCTCGTCAGTTTCCTTTGAGCATCGGTTGATGTTTGCCCAGTCCTCCCTTAAAGAAAAAATCATACATAGTTTTGTTTGAGTTGCAAAGATGTTTTCGGGTATGTCTGGTCTGATCCACAAGGGGCACAAGATAAAGGGGACAGTGGTGTTGATGCGAAAGAATGTGTTGGACGTGAACAGCGTAACCAGTGTTGGAGGCATTGTCGGTCAAGGTCTCGACCTTCTTGGTTCCACCGTCGATAATCTCACTGCCTTCTTGGGTCGATCAGTTTCTCTCCAACTCATCAGTGCCACCAAACCAGATGGTTTCTTTCCTCTTCTTTCACTTCATATATATCACTATACTTTCTTTATTCTTTCTTTTTTGTGTATCTTTAATGGAGTCCAAGAAAAGTGAAACGAAAACATGGTAAAACGGCTTCACTGATTTTTCTTGTTTTCTTTTCTTTCTTTTTGGTTAGCCAACGGAAAGGGGAAGCTTGGAAAGGCTACCTTTTTGGAAGGTATCATCACTTCACTGCCAACTTTGGGAGCAGGCCAATCTGCATTCAAAATTCATTTTGAATGGGATGATGATATGGGAATTCCTGGAGCATTTTACATCAAGAATTTCATGCAAACCGAGTTCTTCCTTGTCAGTTTGACTCTTGAAGACGTTCCAAACCATGGAAGCCTCCACTTTCTTTGCAATTCCTGGATATACAATGCCAAACACTTCAAAAACGATCGCATCTTCTTTGTCAATCAGGTCAAGTATTGCTTACCAGCCACTCTATACACTTTTTAAGTCGTCAATAACTTTGGTGCAACGATGAAGCTAATAACAACGTTATATATATATTGCAGACATATCTTCCAAGCGAAACACCGGCTCCACTGGTGAAGTATAGAGAAGAAGAGTTAGTTAATTTGAGAGGAGATGGAACGGGAGAACGTAGAGAGTGGGACAGGGTCTATGACTATGATGTCTACAATGATTTAGG